CTTTTAGTAGCTATTGTCATTCAAGTGTCACGAAGCAGCTTTCCAGAGTGGCACAAAGGCCGTGGTACCTCCAGGCACTAAAGTCACACGGAGGTAGGTGCTTCGGAGGCTTCACAGACGAGAGAGCGCTGGCTTAGGCTAGGCCTTGAAGAGTAGCCAGGATTTGGAGTGGTGGAAAAAAAGAAAGGTGGCTATTCCAGCCAGTGAGTATTGCATGAGCAAAAGCATGGAGCTGGAAATGCAGATGTTGAATGTGGGTTGGGGGACACGATAGGCAGTAAGAATTCCAATATGTTTAGCATAAGAAGGATTTCACGAGGGTAATATTGGAGAAGTAGGTTGGTGCCCTAGTGTGAGGTGCCTCGAATGTCTCGTAACAAGAAGAATGAGTACCCAACTAGGAAGACATTCTCAGAGTTACTAGTAAACTACAGATATTGCTTGCTCACTTGCAATACAATGAAGACCTGATGGGGATAACCAAAAGCAGGAAGGCCTTCCTATACTGAGGACTCCTTGCGTTTCCGGGTGATTGGGGTATATAGCCATGAGGATGGGGAGAAGCAGCAACTGCCAAAATGCCTTTCTTCATTCTGCTTTTGGCAGTAATCGCCCCTGGTGTGCCTTAGCATTTTGACTTTGACCCCTGTTGGATGACTGACCGAAAACCAAACCAAACCTGTTGCTGTCAAGTCAGTTCTGACTCATAGCAACCCTACCGGGCAGTAGACAGAGTAGAACTGCCCTGTAGGATTTCCAAGGAGTGGCTGATGGGTTCGAACTGCCGACCTCCTGGTTAGCAGCTGAGCTCTTAACCACTGTGTCACTCGGGCTCCATTGGATGACTACTGTATGCTAATTAACCTTTCGAAAATAATACACATTCTAAATATGTAATTTAAATTTTATATACAAATATATTTATAGTTCATCGTTATATAAGTATATATAATCTTTATGCTTAAATGTTATTATATATAATATGTAATTATAATAAATGTTATACATTAAAAAGTATAATCATCAAGGTGTTATAATCCCCATTTCACAGTGAGGGAACTAAGGCTCAGAGAGGTTAAGTAACTTGCTTTACATCACAGAGCTTTCTAAGTAGCAGGGTCTGGCTTCCATTCCAGCAGTTAAATGCTCTTTACTCAACCCTGTGTTTCTCTCTGTTCAGATTGGAAAGTTCTGAATGGTGATAGATAACAGAGGCAACACAGCTTTGCTTTATTTGGCTGGTGAGAAAGAAAATGAGAGAAAGCTCCCAAGCAGCTGCTGTATGGGAAGTTAAGATAGGGTATCCTTGGTCATTGCAGGAAGAATGTACCCAGAGTGTGTGTTAGGAACAGGGCTTCAAACTGCTTCATTCCAGTTTGAACCCTTGCTGAGAATTTGCATTTCCACCCCAGATTTACTGAATCAGAATCTACATTTTAACAAAGTCTCAGGTGATTCTTATGATAACTTCCTGGGAACTTGTAAGAAATGCAAATTCTCAGTAGGGAAGTTGTTAGAAATGCAAATTTTCAGCAGGGATTCCAAACCCAGTGAACTGATTTGAAGCCCTGGTTAGGAGTCAAACTCTTGGTTCCTGGGTCTCAATGTAGCTTGGTTTATTTTACCTATAAAGGCAGATGGGACAGTGGTTAAGAGCTTGGCTGCTAACAAAAAGGTTGGCAGTTCAAATCTACCAAGTATTCCTTGGAAACCTTATGGGGCAGTTCTACTCTGTCCTGTAGGGTGGCTATGAGTCGGAACCGACACAACGGCACACAGTAACAACAACACCAAGCTAAGAGCCAGAGCTACCTGGCTACACACATGAAGAAATATATCATCTGTAAGGTAAAACGAGACAGGCTGGACGGTAGGACGCTTGTTCCCTAGCCTGCAATTGCTGTATTGAAGGCATTTAGTATATATTTGTAGAATGGATATCTGATTAAAGCTTGTGAGTATGCCCATGATTGTAGGTCTAGGAGAGGGAGGTTGTGTTTACATTGTTTTTGAAGATCAGAGGGGATCAGAGCAGGTGGAGTGGTACTGTTCAGCACTCCAGTGTTTAAACTACTGTAGACCCCTGTCTGCAGGGGACTGTAGCTTTGTCTTTTTCTTTCTTCTGTTTACCTCCTGGCTGTGCCTGTGATAGCAGGTCTCTGTGAATTAATAGTCAGTAATGCTGTGGTCTGAATATTAGGCAGATGGAAAATTGCTTGAAATTTAAAAGAAGATACACACCTAAACGTGTAATTATTGTGCATTATCTTTAATGTTTAATTTTTTTAAAGAAAAAGCTTATCTACCAGTTCTAATATAAGAGGTTCTTTTTTTAAAATGGTTATTTAGGATGGTTGAATGCATAAACCCCAATTCCAGTGTACCAGAAATCATTGACTTTGAGTGAGTATGAAGCCAGTATTCTTTGTTCTTTGTTTAAAATAGTAGAGGATCCTGATTGAGAATGATTTGGTAGTGGTATTAAAAATTCAGATACAGCCCCCCATATGGGCATTTCCCTTTTCCCCATCTTTTCTTCCTTCCCTCCCACCTCTCCACTCTCCCCAAAGCTGCTAGGAAGCAGTTTATAGTCCCTTTCCGAAGCATTAACTCATCACTGCTTAACGCTGTAGTCTGCTTGTTGATAAATATTCAGTTCTCATCAGGTAAAGAATTGCTATTTCTGGAAATTTAAATATTTAGAAATGTTCAAGTCAGGAATAAATGTGAGATGAAAAATCTTACTGTTGCCTCAAGTTAGAGCTTGTGAAAAATCTCAACAGACTGTTCTTTAATCACCAGAGTTTAGACCACTGGTACTTCTGTTTTGGTTTTTATCTGGTTATTTGAACAGCTTACTTGGCAACAGTATGCCCTATTGCATCATGTTGTTTGCTTATTATAGTCGTCTCTACCTTTTGTGAGCAGTGTATTTCCCCTCTAATCTGTGACTATCAGAGTTCCCAGTGAAGTGAAGAGAGGGGAGTATTTCCTGATTGCTCACAATGTACCAGGCATAGGGCTAGGTTCTTTAATGTGCATATTGATGAGAATTTAATCCTCAAGGAACCTAGATAGATAATATTATTATTTTTTTAATTAATACAGAAATAGAAGCTCAGGGAGATTAAGTAATTTGCCCAGGGTCACAGAGCTAGCAGTACATTCAGAATTTGAACCACAACCTAACTCCAGAGTCCATGCTAGCACTAACTGTGCTAGGAGTGTAGGATCATCATGAGTATGAAACCTGGAATAAGAGTGTTTTTGTCTTCTTCTATCCTGTACTTCACCAGTGTTTTTATCCATGTAAAATTGGCTTTTTATGAACATCAGAGGTTGTCTTGACAGGAAAAATAAAAGCATTGTTATATTTTAGGTTGTTGTGGGGGGAAGGTATAGGAGAGTCGTATAAGAGAAGGAAGGGACAGTCCTTTCCCTTTGTTTTGGGGTGGGACGGGAGGCAGAGGGAAATTAACTATGACGCAGATGTACATATGAACTTCAAAGAACATTTAGCTTCAGTCGGGCAGTCCATAGTAGTCACACTTTATCAGTGCTCTAAGATTCGATGAGGAAAAGGAAAAATCAGGCTTGGGAGGCTAGATTAGAGGAGACTTTGTATAACAGACGGGTGTCTCAGAGGTGAGTAATGCTGTGTAAGCGTGCGCATTAAGGAGCTGGTGCCAGTGTTTGCTCTCGCTTCCTTACTGGTGTCAGGGAGCAGGGGGTCGGCTGGTGTCAGGGAGCAGGGCGTAGCCGTCGCTTGCCCTGCTGCCGCTGGTCTGGGGCTGGAACACCAAAATCCAGAGAAAATAGAACTATTTCAAATAAGCGGCAAGTTTATGAGTCAGGTGGTCAGGCAGAAGATGGGGACCAAACCCAGGGCAGGGAAATCTGAAAGCAGAGCCCAGGTCTGGCGGCCCAAGGGAGTCATGGGAAAGAAGAGGGCAGGGCAGGTTGGGAGTGTTGGATCTGTGACCTCTTCAGCTTACTACCTTCAGCCTAGTGTTTGGACAGGCTTTGTATTCCAGGTAAGTTTGAGGTCCCCACAGATAATAGAATAATCACCATCCCAAAAGAGTAGACTCTCCTGGTAGTAGGTGTGATGGACAAGTGAGGGGCCAAATGTCAAGAGGCTGAGTGCTCAGCTTATAGGTTCTCTATTCTGAACTTGCTTCTAACCAAAGAGAAACCAGCTCAGCAAATCTCCCAGGGTCTGCATATTTACTTAACTAATTGGAGTGTTTTCCATTCTTATTAAAAATAACTTTTATTCATCTTGAATACTTTTTGACATGCTGTTTGAATGCTTTTTGAAAATACACTTAAAAAAGAAATTACGTATAATCTCACCATCCAGATATAACCACTGTTAATATTTTTTGTGTGTTCCATCCAGACTTTTGTCCATTCCAATGCATATTGATGTACATGTTCATTTAAGTAAAATGGGACTAGACACTACTTCATGTTTTATGAGAGTTTTTTTTTCATTTAAGATGTCATTGCCTATTTTCATTTTATATTTTAATGGTTGCATAGTATTCCATTGTGTGAATTTATGTAATTCTCCACCGTGGGACATTGACCCTTTACCTAATTTTTTTGCCATTATACTTCTTGGGACAAACACTTTGTAGCTAAGTGTGTGAAGAAGTACATGATTCATCCATGACGTAGATTGCTAGGTCAAAGGATAATAAGCAAAATTCTAAGGCTTTTGATTTCACCAAATGGTCTTCCAGGAAGGTTGTATATAATTGGCACTCCTGCTAACAAGTATGTGTAAGCATTCATTTCCCCAAAGCATCAGCAATACTGGATATACCATTGGGAGGGGGGAGATGGTGTCTCTGCTAGTTGGTAGGTGAAAATGCTGTATCAATTTTAATTTTAATGTGCTGCTGGTTTATAAAGGTATTCCCAACCCTCACAGCAGTCTCCCCCACGTTTGCCATTCCTCCCTTCCTCCCTGATGGTGATTTTCTCTTTTGCAGCATTGCTGGGAGCCTGGTATATTCCTACATCACTTTTTCTGAAGAGCAGCTGAGCAAACAGTCAGAGGCCAGTAACAAGCTGGACACTAAGGGAAAAGGAGCAGTATGACCAGAGGGTTGCGCTTAAACTTAAGGAGGCCCAAGTTTTTGATCAACTCGGAACACTGGCAATTCTTACGCAGATATTGAGGTGTCTTGATTATGGAGAAAATACCATTCTTTTGCACTTGTACAATCTGAGGATTGATTGCTGCCTTTTAAAATTTTATGATGAGAGAAACTTATAATTGACTCTATTTTAAATATGCTGTTTGAATTAATTTATATCAGGCTGGAAAATATACTGGGCTTTTTAATTTATTTTTTCTTCTATGCTGACACTGAATCATCAGTGTTTTGAATATATTTTATTCCATAGTTTGATATCCAGGTGTCCCTGAGAGGTGCATGTATAAAGTGTTCCAACAGAGCCTCATCACTCAAATCATTGCTGCAATCTTCTGGAGGCAGTTTAACCTTCCTTCTGCTGGAAGTGCAGCTGATTATCTGAAATTTCTCTTCTTTGAATTTTATTTCTTACGATTGCATCGTCTTCATGAGGGTGTCATCATTTCATTTGCGTAAGATGACAACTTTGGCACTAAAAAATACATATATGGGGCTTTGAAGTGCATTGGTTTCCATGTGAGCTTCCCTGAGGACTCATGAGATGAACCGAGTACATTCCTTGAAAACACATTGTTCCCTCTTTGTTGTGTAGGATGAGAATAGTGAAGGAAGGGAGGAAATAGGCCTTTTGTTAATTTATTCATCCATCTGAATCATTTATTCATCTAAAATGTGTTGAGTATGTAATATTTGCCAGGCATTTGTGCTAAGTGCTGGGAATACAGAGATGATTTTGGAGGTGGTTGAAACATCTCACTCCTGCTGTAGTGACTGAGGATAAAATGGAGAACGTAGCTCTGTCAGTCAGTTCAGAAGACGTGAATATGAGCAAGCTGCTTCAGCTCTCAGAAATACAAATCTGTAACTGAGGTTAGAAGCCCCTGCCCGCCCTGCCTACTCCACAGCAGTTTGAGTCCAAATACAACAATCTGAGATCAAATGCATGTTTAGAGCTGCATTTTGGAAACTAAATCAGCTCAGCATTGATCCCTTTTTCCTCTGAAAAAGAATGGCAATCAGGCAAGGTGACCACCTTTATTTCCTCATGCCTGTCTCCTCTGGGTTGCTACTTTTTTTTATTTCTCTTTAGAGCAATATGGCTAGTGCCCACATTTCTGAATTTATTGGTTTGAGGGGAAAGCCTGGCTAGAAGTTTCTGGATTGGGAGGCTTGGACTTTATCTGGCACTGTCAGTGTTAGAGCCATTATCTTTCTCCTCATACGGCACTAGTGTACCTTGTCTCTTGGACATTCTCATTGGCCCCACCCGCTTCCATCCCATGCCCCGTGGCTCACTTAGTGAACATGTTAGCTTCTCATAAGACCAGTGCTGCCTCCTGGGAGAGCAGCAGTGAACGGACATTGCCTGAATTGCCTCTTGTATGGGACAATTCAGACACAGTTCTGGGCCTCGTCTCAGGTATCTGTTGACTTTGGGGTTGAGTGTGTTTGCTCAGGCCAGTTGTGCAATCAGTGCACAAGAGATTGGGTCCCTTTGCACTGGTGCACACACTAGCTTCTGTTTCATTGGGTTTGGAATCCGCTGGGCTCTGTTGACCTAAACATTTGGTATTTTGGTGTCTCAAGGAAGGTTTTTTTTTTTTTTCCTTATTTCATGAAGAATTATATTGAGGTCATTTTCATAGTCATGTCTCTCCTCAATTTTGTTTTGTGTTTATTAAAGCCTGGCCAGTGGTGCTGTGTTCCCACAGTTTGTCCCATGACCAACTCCCATTGGAACAAGTTCCATATAAGAGGTCCTGGGCGCATTTTTTTCCAGCATCATCTGACCTGAGAAAATTCCAGTGGAAGAATAGGATATTATCTTGTGTCAGATGGGTACTGTCCCTATTTTACCAGTGAGAAGAGAGTCAAAGAAAGTAGGGGACTTGCCAGTAAGTAAAAAATCCATGTTCTTTGCATTGAACCATGGTGCCATTTGATTAACTTATCTGAGGGAGTGAAGGAATGGGAATGCTAGCTGAATTAGCTTGAGCTGTTTCAAAGAGGCAAGTGGTTGATTGAATTTGGAGTCAGAGAAGAATAAGCTTTGCAGACCTAGCATGGAGAAGCAGAGGTCACTGTGTGTCCTGGAGCCTTCATCCACTTTCTGGGCTGGCCTCAGTTGATATGCATTTCTGTGAATGTTACCTGCTGGTGCCTGGTTTTGTCTGGGTGTAATGGAAAAGTACAAGTTATAGTGAGAACTAATTTTAGTGGTTCTGTTCCTTCTTCTGTTAGCCACATGAAGGAGGAAACTTTGACGTTAGATATTTGTGTTGTGGAATTCCTTGTTATGCTAGGCCTTTGGATGTATTTAGAGGTAATGGGCTAGCGCTGCACCAGGGATTGAAGTGCTTCTTGGGAGTCAGGTTCCCTTGGAGGTCTGTCACATCTCTAGGTTTATTTGAGAAAATTACATATAGTTATAACTTCACTAAATGTATATGACAGGCTTCTGTACCTCAAGGGCCCTGGCCTGTACTGAACCTTCTGGGTAGACAGAAGCAGTCCAGTGACTGAGAACTCCCGGCCTGTCTGTGTCCTGATTCCTGGGAGTTCCCCTCAGTGCAGCCTCCTGTCTTGAAGCGTAGGAGAGAGCAGCCTGGGGAAGCTGAGATGGAGTGGACTGGGCAACCATTTTTGGAGTACAGTCAGTTCCTGAATAACAAGACGTCTGACTTACGGACAACTCGTATTTACGGACAACTCGTACTTCAGAACAGACTGCCATAAAGGCTATTATATTAAAAATTTGAGTTAAATATGATAGTTCTTAATAACGAATGCACACACTACTTTGTTACACTCATGAAAACTGCACGGTTTGAAAGTGTTTAAGTGTTTTATGTGCATAGAAAGGTAGAATATACACTGTATACTAAGACAAACATTTGACACTAAATAAGAACCCGTATATACCTGTTTAGACTTACCTACAAATTCAACTAACAGACAGACTTAGGAACAGAGAGCGTTCATAACCTGGGCACTGCCTGTATGTGTTTTCAGTTATGTGCAGGCCTAAGGGTAGTGTACCAGAGATTGTACCTGTACCCTAGAAGCTCCCAGAATGTCTGGATTTTGCCCAAGGTTGATATCTTGGAAAGGAAAAATTCTTTGGCCTGTTAACTACCTCCTAGCAGTATAGAGTTAAGTCTTGAATTTGCCCGTTGAGACAGAGGAGCTGTGCTGAGAATCCTCAAAGTCAAGTTCCATGACTAGTGGTTCCTCTTCCTTGAGTTAATGAAAGCGAAGATCCTCTTTGGCCAGTCTTTGTCAGTGCTGGATTGATTCACATAACCCCAGCTGACCCAACTGCTCGTGGCCAATATGTCAGGTGAGTTTTGATTGCCTCATGTGGCTCTTGCCTCCTTTAGTAGTCAGTCATTTGTAGGATCCAGCTTGCACGTAGATTAGAAAAAAGTGTAAGTTTACTGTAGTTTTACTGCGTCAAGAATCCATGGAAGGCTTTGGTCGGTAAAACTGGTGTAGGATTTTCATGGAAAGTGTAGTAAAGCTTTGATTGGTTGGGAATAGTACCAAAGACTTTGGGCCTGCCTTCACTTTAGTTATTATGGCCTCAGTGAGCAAAGCTCAGCTCCGGGAAAACTGAGATGAATGTGAAATGGTTCTTGCCCTAAGGAAAGTAGATTTCTTTAGCCTTAGGTGGTGGCCTGAACCCTAGTTGAGAGAAAGGAAGCAGGTGCCTGCGCAGTTATCAGCATCATTGCTTCTAGAGGTGCCTCACCTACATGGCGATAGCATTTTTTTAACCCCAGGGAACTCTTGTAACCCATACTGGTCTTCTAGCTCTGAGATAAGTGACATGGCCCTTAGTTCTGTGAGCAGCCTGGGTTCCTTCTCCGTCGACTGCACATATTCTTGCTTCCCCGTAACCATGTGATACTGGTTCCTCCTTATGGACAAGGCCGTAACTGATATTTTATTCCCTGAGGGAAAATAATCATATTTAGAAGAAACAATGGATGTAAAACTACTCAGCACAGTGCCAGGCACTCGGCACTGTAGTATCTGGTATTATTTCATGGTGACACTGTAGGCAAAACAAGATTCTTAATTTCTGCTTTTTAAATGCTAGAGGGCATCGTGTGTTTGTTGAAAAAACGTGACCCCGGACTTCATTGCCTCTAGAACGCTTAGATAATGGTTCCTGTTCACTGTCTTTTTTTTTTTTTTTTTTCAATACCTACTGGATATAGTTGTGGTCATTGTGTGATGCAGCTGATTCCACCTGTTTTTAAAAAGGAACAAAATTACTTTCATACTGTGATGGTAAATTTTATAAAAGGAAAATTATACCTTAGAGGAAGATAATTATACTTCAAAATGGTAATTCAGTTCAGGCTTCCCCAGTTTGTCACCTTAAGATCGCTCCTGTACGTGCTGGGCATCCCTTCTTCCTCTCCTGGTTAAATGCACTTGACTACACACTGCCTCTGCTTCGAGGTCTGTCTCACTTGTCAGTATATGTGGATCTCTTGCACCATCACTGTTTCTCTAAACCCACCTAATGAGTTCTTACTGTTAGGACCCACTTCATCATAATATAAGGAGATACTCTCAGTGTTTTGTTTTCTTTTTTTAAGCTTTTTTATTTTATACTTTTTAAAAAGAAAGCTGATTAGATTTGCCTCACAGAAATGTTTTTAGATACTTTATTTGTAAATATTTTCTTTCTCATGCTGATGATCAGCTGATTTTGTCTACAAATGTTGGCCTCCCACAATATTTTTTCAGTATAGATTCTATTTACCAAAAGACCATTTTAGTGTTTTTTAAAAGGTACTGATAATTGAGATATGTAAATCAGGTGACATAAAAATGAAAATTATGTGCCTAACTATTTTTGTAAAGGTGTCAAATAAATACTTTTTCCTGAAAACATGTATTAAAATTCCTTTCTAAGTGAAGTGCCTGCAGAAACAATCAAGAGCCACAAGTCAGCTCACATTCAAGAGGCTGCATCATTAGTTGAGATACAGTAATAGAACAGTTTGCCATACAAATACTTTGCATAAATAGCACATATGAATAAATATCCAGTGTCTTTGGCATACTTGTGGTAAATTAGAAGGAAAGAAATGCTAATCTTTCTGCTTTCAGGGTATTTCATGTGCATAATCATCTTTCTAAGCCTCTGGGTGGCTTTACTGGGAAATAACCCAAAAATAAAATAGCTCATTGAAACCAAACCCACTGCCATTGAGTCGATTATTTTAATCAACTTTTAAAAATCCTCTTAGAGTCTGGCTTTTTGTCTACTTTGTTAAAGGTATATGCCTTTTATTCAGCCCTTTGCTGGTTTCTTGTCTCGCTTGGTTTCCTGGCAGCAGTGCTGCCAGTACTGGGGAGAGCCATGGGAGAGCCATAGGATAGCCAAGGAGCAGAGCACAGAGCTGGGCCTTTGTGTACCCTCAACAGTTCAGTAGTTACCAGGTACCCCCAATTCTTCATCCCTGTATCTCTCATCACTTGGGCCCTATCATTTATTCATCCATCAAGCCAGACTGAGCTTATTGGGGCCAGCACCCAGCCTCTAGCAGAGCCTGGGACATCCGTGTTTCACAGATGAAGCTCAGTGAGGTGAAACTGTCCAGTGTGGTCATGGAACCCACATTCAAATCCCATTCAGTCTGACTCAAAAGACCTTTGCTCTTATCCATCACACTGGGTTCTTGTTTCTCCTAGTCTGCCTGTAGTAGACTTGGTGGTACCAAACATCACCATTTCATGTCTGTCAAATGCCATTCTTAACTCAAAGTTCACAAAATACGGATTTAAAGCTTAAGCATAAACTGGTGGCTGGTTGACTCTGAGGAGGTAAAGCCACCAAGCCTTTCCAGCTGTGCTGATGGTGCCCTCTTGTGGCAGCAGCTGCCGATGAGGGATCGATATAAGGAGCAGTTTGCTTTGCCACAAGTGAAAGAAAAAGCAGTTTCTCCTGAGGGCTTACTGTGTGCCTTTCACTGATTTAGGCCTTCACCATTACCAAACTTTACTGATGCAGTGACTTAAGCAAGGCTAAGGAATTTGTCCAACCTCGTTCAGCTGAGAAATTTAACTCTGGACTGTGATTCCAAAACCCTTTTCATTCGAAAGGATACATTCCAGATAGCATCCCTGTTTGTTAGAATGCAGTAGGAGGGTTCTTCATCAAGAGCTCCTCATCATGTCTACTTTTTTCTCCAATTTATTTTTTTCAATGGATATTTTTTAGAACTATGTCCACAAAAGATGACAGAATCATGAACTAACATTGGAGCTTGGAAGTATTTCATTCTGTCTGGGATGGTAGGAAAGGCTTTGTTGGAGCAGGGACCACTTGAGCTGGATTTTTGAAGGGAAACTAGAATTTGGCTGAGATGTTGGGGACAGCCTCCAACATTTCACTTTGCCTGGAATGCATCCCCCCTAGATAACTCCATAGCACAGGCCCTCATCTCTGTGGGCCTTCACTGACCATTCTGTTTGAAATGGCACTCTGCCCTCTCCGCACTATGCCCGCTCCCCTTTCTCTCTGTAATATTTTCGTCTGACATACCATATTTTTTACTTATTGTCTCTTTTAATCAATTACAAGCTTTTTGAAGGCAGAGATTTTGGTATGTTTTCACTGCAGTATCTTTGGTACTTAGAACAGTGCTTGGCACATTGTAGGCAAAACAGTATTTGCTGAATAAATAAATCTAGACCAAGAGTAGCCAATTAATAAGCCCCCCCCCCCTTTTTTTTAAACATAGCAAGAGATGAGTATGACCTTATTCATTTTAGGAAGATCACGCCAGGTGCAGCATTTGGGTTGTATACTGTAGCCTAACCAAAAAAAAACAAAAAACAACACAAGCCTGTTGCTGTAGAGTTGATTCCAACTCATAGCAACCCTATAGGGCAGGGTAGAACTACCCCATAAGGTTTCTGAAGAGTGGCTGGTGGATTCAAACTGCCAACCTTTTGGTTAGCAGCCAAGCTCTTAACCACTGCGCCACGAGGGCTCCTGCTGTAGGCCAGGGGTTGGCAAATTCACCTGTCTCACCGGGGCCAGGGAGGTAAGCAATGTGAATCCTAAGGAATGCAACCAATAGTACAACACTTAAGTGGTAGGGCTTGTGATGCACGCCTGCCCAAAGGCATTCAAATTAAAACTTGTTTAAAATACACATCTGCCAGTCAGATTTGGCCCACTGGCTACCAGTGTAGCTCTTGAGTTCCTCTGCACTTAACAAAAGCACTTGGGATGCTATGTGGATTACCGTCAGGCTGGGTTCCAGGAAAGGGCAGGGCTGGAGGTAGATAACATCAGAGAAGGCTGTAGTACTAGTCCAAGAGAGAAATGATAAGGTCTTTAAGTGTAGTTGTGGAAACAAGAGACAAAGGATTCAGTTAACTGAAATCCTTAACAGGTGATAATGAAGTCTGTTTCTACCTTTCATTTGTAAGTAAAGCTGTGGTGAACATTTTTTTTTTTTTTTTTTTTTTTTACTAAATCTCGTATCTTCAAGAGACCAAAGGGTGTGAACATTTTTAAGGTCATTAACTTAGATTCCCAAGTGTTTTCTCAAAGGGTTATACTTGAAGTGTAGCAATGAAACAGTGCCTGGTCTACCACAGTAAAAATACATTGAGCCATTTACCACATGCTAGGCATTTTTTCTTAGCATCTAACATACAGAGTTCACTATGAGTCAGAATTGACTGGATGGTATTCTACACACTGACACATTTTAATCCTCAAAACAATCCTTTAAAGTCAATCCTATTATTATCTTTATTTTAGGATGAGACAGGCACAAATAGGTTCCACTGTTGGACAGTGGTGACTGAGAAACTTGATAGAAAATACCAATGTGCCTTTCTGTAAGGCCTGCCTTTGCTCCAAGGTCTGTAGCTGCCTAGAACAAGCAGTACAGTATCATGTTTGACCGAGTGGGCTATCTTAGATTCACATCTACACTTCATCAGGTTTGAGTGTAGTGGGTAAGAATTTTCACAAACTTAGGTGTAGAAGAAATCTCAATTTTTTTTTTTTTTAAATCAAGTTAGATTTGAATCTCATGTTTTTTAAATGCAAACGCCTATCTACTAAACAGGAAACCCTGGTTAAGAGCTATGGCTGCCAACCAAAAGATCCGCAGTTCGAATCCACCAGGCACTCCTCGGAAACCCGATGGGGGGCAGTTCTAATTGACTGATGGGGTTGCTGTGAGTCTAAATCGACTCAATTGTAACCTTTTTTTTTTTTTTTAATCTACTGAACTCTGGAGGCAAATGCAGATAGCAGTGTAGCAAAAAAGCCACACAAATCATGTCCATTAAGTTCACAATCCAGGCTGTATGAGCTCAGAGCCACCAGACACCATTTCTATCACCTACACCTAGGTGCCTCAGAGGTGATTAATGGAGTATTTAGACACAAATTTAAAAAGAGCATACTCAGAATGACTGGCAGCACTATTGAAACTAGCTCCCACCCAGAACTGGTTTCTCATGTTCACTCAGCTAAAGCATAGCTGGTGACAAGGGAGGGCTGAAAAGTCCCCCTTTTAGAGCAAGCTTTCCTTAAACCTGGATTTTCCGGTAAGGAATCTAAAGAGACTCAGGTTAGTCTACTCTGATGCCATTTTCTGCTTGATCTTTGGTTTCTGGAAGAAACCACCTCCATTTCAGAGCCCACATCTTTAGAAGTTTAGGTATTCCAATTCTTTAAAGCCTCACCTCTTGTGACCTTTAGGAAATCAAATTCCCCGCCTTACAGTATGCTTGCTGGACAGTGAATGACGAGAAAGGGTGAGAGTCCTGAATAAGCCACAGCTGTTACAATCAGCCTTGCAGTAAATTTTAAGTTTGAGGGAAATCTTAGCTAGAATTATACGGCAAACAGGCAGGTGAACTCTGTTTCTGAGAGATCATGCCTACTCATCCTTTACTTTAGCCCTCTCTATACTCAGCTTACGAAGCCCTGGTGGTTCAGTGGTTAAGCGCTTGGTTACTAACTGAAAGGTCGGCAATTCGAATCCACCAGCCACTCCGCAGGAGAAAGGACTCTGCAGGAAAAAGGTGCAGCAGTCTGCTTTCATCAAGATTTACAGCCTTGGAAACTATGGGTTCTACTCTGCCCTACAGAGTCACTATGAGTCAGAATCGACTCACTGGCAAAAGGTTTGGTTTCTGCTATACTCAGCACATACCACTGTGCTTATCTGTGAACACCTTCTTACAGAGTGTGTATCTTGCCTCCAAAGCCACAAGCCAAATACAGTACCTGGCACAAGTGTAGGTCCAAGACTTGCTGGATAATATGGTAGTATATGGCAACATGATGAAAACCTGTCACCATTAGACAGTTACATGTGAAGCTTTCACCAGTTTGGACAAAGGAGAATTTGAATTCAGCTCCTGTTTATATGGTAATTCTTCAGTGTTCTTCACAGAATAGGAAGCCTTTAAAAGTGTGTTCAAATTCACTCCTTACTTAGAGCAAGCAAAATGACATTTTAAGTGCATCACACATCCCAAATAAGTCATATGAACTAGCATAAAGACAAGGTAAAAAAAAAAATCATGTTTAGAAAAGCAAAAGCTCCATGTCCATACAGTTGTCAAAAGATGTCAGCATAATACTGAGGGTATATAATAGAACAAAGGTTAACCCAGATAATCAAATACATGAAATCAGTCTGTAACGTGGGCTAAGATTTTGCAAAGGATCAACAGGCAGGCTGATCAAGAGCAGAGCTGATTTTATGGTTAAAAAAAAAAAATTAAATTGTAGAATCGTGATCCAAAAGGAAGTCATTTTTAGAGAGAGAATGAAAAGGTTAAACTTGGAAATTCTTTGTTCCTCCTCATGTTATTGTTTTTCCACACTGACATTTTTCACAAATACAGATTATAGTTGGGAAAACCTCAGTTATCTCTGATTTGGTATTTAGTAGCAATACAGAACTATTTAACACCCCCAGGGTCACCTGCATCTAACTACTGCTTACAGAAATTAACCAACCCTCAGTTACTCTAAGTGCCCACTCCTAATTTTCTGTTGACAGTAAACAAAAACAAATGTGACAAAACACGGTTCCTGCAAAATATTATGTGATACGAACTGCACTGCAAAAGAAACAATTTGATTTTATAGTCCAGAAGGAGAAAAACAAGGTGAATAGAAGTCCACAGACTAAAGGGTCTTTCTGGAGGGTGAAAAAAAAAAAAAAGACAAATATATCACCCAAGATAAAGGTAAAGGGGACCAGGAACCACTGAAAAACTCCACGCGCTGTGTTTAGGAGTTTTAGAAGCAACAGAAGTTAAATATATGTGCATTGTAAACAATGTTCATCATCTATAACTAAAATCTACTCAACAAAGCTAATGAAAATCATTCATACAGCATTATGTAGACAAGTAAGTTTAAAAAAAATATTTTAATAAGCATATTCAGAATGGCAGAAAGGGAATGGGGGAAGGGAATTATTTTACAGTCCAAAATTACTATGCATAAATTTAAAAACATCTAATTCATAATTTTAAATGCCTATTTAAATATTACTTCAAATATATTTTAAAGCTCAACAGATCTGTGTTGAACTGAGTTGCAGATTTTGAATTCTATTTGAAAACACATCATGAAATAGAATACCATTCCAAATGAAAATGATAGTGCTTTGCTGAGGGTAGGAATGGGGTGAGGGAGACTAAGTAACTATTAACAAAGGCTTCTTTTCCCAATGCAATTTGTCAAGAGTTCAAGAGTTATGACATGTACTAAATCTTAAGCAAATTAAACTCATGATATTACTAGAATTTTAAAGTAGTGCAATGACTTATCAAGTTATAGTGGCTGCATTATGAAGAACAAAGTACTGTGTGAAATACCTGTATAAACACAAAATTGAATATTTCTTTATGAAAAGCTGAGCATTATGTATATAATAGTGGAATGTCTTTCATTAGGCATACTTTAAAAAAGATAAGATAAAGACAAGTAAAATGTCCAAACATGTATACATGTGCCATATTTGCAAACATGCCTGAGAATTTCCTTGAAACGTTCTTGTAATATAAGTTTGCAACAACTTCACAAACCCGCAAACAAAATGCATCTTTTAACAGAGGTGAAAACGGCATCTCTAATATTGCAACAATTTAAAAAAGCACAGCACCACCATTCTTCTCAAACATTTCTACAGATCACCTTTGATAAAGAGCTAGGATACTCTGGATTTTAATAAAATCTAATGTAGAAAATGGATTGTGACCATCTGCTAAAGCTACTGCCATTCTGGATAAATTAATATTTTAAGTAAAACAAAACAAAAACAACAAAAAACTCAGGCTTCTCAACACTTTCACTCAAAACTTCTGATTTTCTTGGGTAAGTGAATGTATATCATATAAAGTCAAGTGTTATAAGTGGCTTTTAACACTGTTCGGGGAAAAAAGTTGTTCACATTGGTGAAGGAAAGCAGTTTGAACATATGTGAGCAGTAATACTTCATGAGGAAAGGCCTAAACCATAATTTCTCAGTGCAAGCCTCTACTCAATTGTAATAGGCAGTTGAACCATTAAAAACAGACCACAGAAGATTTATTTTAAAAAGGCATTGGCTCTTGAACTGATGGCTGAAAATGAACTGATAGAAGCATTTGGTGTATGCCTGTGTGATAAAAACAAGAATAGTTAATAATCTTTTATAAAAGTTTGGGTATAGGTTAGTCTATCAGCTGTATAAAACTACATTTTTTAACAAGAATTTCGCACTAAAAATAAAACAGCACTCTTGCAAGGCTACACTAATAGATAATCCTGTTTGTAATCACACAGAGCAGTGGCTGCTGTGTAACTTGTAATTATTTTAAATCTGCATTTATAAAGACTTTAGATTTTCATTTTGGAAATACATCATCAATTCTGAAAAACAGGACTGTAACTGGAAAAGTTTGAAAACTTTTCTAACTTCATCACTTTCTCCACATAAAATCAATATTGTTGCTTGCCGACGGTTACTCCTTGTGTGCGCCAATATCTAAGTATCACCTACTTGACCTTTTCCCCTCTGTTTATTTAATGCAAAAATGGGAAATTTTATAATGTATATAAAAATAACTGAACAGAATTCTGCTCAGCATGATACAACTAAACACTTAAGCTGGCATTAAACTTTTGTCTTGTTTCAAAAATAACTTTGAAAATTATAGCAAATGCAAAACAAACTCTGCAATAGAAGTATCATGCTTAATTTCAGAATTCTCAAACTATTTTTCCTTAAGTAGAAATCTGAAAAAACAAATTTTCACAATCTTTTATGAATGCTTTTACCACCTGGATAAGAAACATGACTTAGTTACTACACAAACACTTAAAAATTCATTAGAAAAACCTTAGCAAAATAAAATGAAAGCTGACAGACTTAGAATATCAATTCCTCTCATAAAAGTTGACCAACTGTACAAGTTAAGAAAATTATACAAGCTTTTGTATTAAGAAAGGACAGCTCAGTCAAGACATAGGTACTGTAAAAATCTTTCAAAGGCTACAAAGAATCTGGAAAAATACAGAATGTATTTCTTAAGCCCAGATAAGAATATGGAAAGACATCATTGATGTCAACAATTTTACATATACAAACCTGACTTGGTTTATTTTTAAACTTCTATATATAAAAAAATCATGCTAGCATAACTTTCAGGATTCATAAGGGTTTCCTTAATGACAACACTCAATTTGTATGGAGAGAAAAAGTGTCTGTCATAAAGATAAGACATTTCAAGAAACTCAGAAAAACAGGTGTTTTCTTTTTTTTTTCCTTCATCAAACCAAGCAAAAAGTACCTTGCAATGAAATTTTATAATATGATTAATACATCAAATGCAAAGGTACCTATACATTTTAGTTCATTCAAATTTACTAAAATACTTGTTATATACTTAAAGGGTCTTTGACAGTTTTAAAGTAAAAAATCTGCAAAGGACAGAATTATAAAATCTTATTTCCTAAAGTTAGGCTTAACTCAAATTTTCAAATTTTAAACAACTGCTTCAGGAAATTAACTTTTAAGGTAACCCATCAACCCTGAAAATTTCAGTCACACCAAGATTTACTCCAAAGAAAGTAAAATGGGTCTAAATTTTAGTCATCTATGTTATCAAGTTCCTCAAATTTTCCATGTGAGATTGCTTCTTGGAAAAATTCAGAAGAACCTGGACTTTCTTTTCCATTGCTGTTTACCCTTCGCCTTTTAGCAGGTCTCTCACTTTTTTCATCTAAATCATTTTCATTTCTTGCAGTCATATGGGCAAGTTTTGGGTCAGTGGTAAGGTTATCTGTTTCATAACCATTAGTATCCGTATCTGCATGAAGTGGTTTTTTATTTCCACCGGTAGGTCCATTAACATGTAATCCTTCAACTTTTACGTCTTCTTTGCTTAATATTTCACCTGGTCCATTAGATGACACTCCTAAATTGGAAAAGACACAGATGAAACTAACAAAAAAGTTAAATTTGTAAATAACTGTAAAATAGCTTTTCATCAAGGAAGTGAGGTATCAAATCAGTGTATACATATAGTTTGAATTCTGGCTGTGTGACCTTATTTATGCTCTCTGTACCTCAGGTTCATCCCATGTGAGAATAAGAACAGGTTTCATTAGCTGTTGTGAAGATTAAATAAGGTAATACAAATAAAGAACTAAGAAAGAATTTCCAGTAGATTAAGCATCCAATTAGTTCTTATGTGACAAATAGACACTGGATGCAGCAGCCTTAATAAGCTGAATTAGGCAAAGAGATACACATAAATTATTCACAACTTAGCAAAAGGGTCATAACTTTCTAAAACCATGTAAAAACAGCATGTTTCTTCTTAAAGACACTTGAGTTTTCTACTGCCATATAAAATCAAGACCCATGACTTGTCAATCTATGGGAAACGTGCCTGAAGAGTAAAGATCATACACTATATTTCTCTAAGTGCATTTAAATAATGTCAGTGTTAAAAAATTAATGCTTTACTGTCCCAGCATACACTTGAAAATGCTAAAAAACAAATTTTTTCTGTAACAATTATTCTAGTGAAAGCAAGAAATAACAAAAAAGGTCATGCTAGAGCTGACTACAAAATGAAATGGAACACAAATTTAAGGAGCCCTTGTAGTGCAACGGTTAAATGCTTAGCTGCTAACCGAAAGGTCTGCTGTCCGAACCCACCCAGCGGCTCTGTGGGAGAAAAGACCTGGCAATCTGTTCCCATAAAGACTGCAGCCAAGAAAACCCTATGGGACAGTTCTACCACTATGAGTCGAAATGGACTGGACGGCATACAACAACGATGTAAAATACAGAATGAGCCACTGAAGTTAATAAAATTATCTGAAAAATATTTAGCATAAAGGATAAGCCCCAAATATTACATTTGTGTTAAAGAAAATGTTAGTGTATTTTTCCTAACTCAAAAATGCACTCAAACCATGAATGCACATGAGGATAGCTTACAATCGGAGACTTAAGGAATGATTCTGTGATAGTCGGGCCCAAAGAGCCAACTGAGGCTGTGATTAGGTCAGGAGTAACTATAAGATTTCAAGGCACAAAGTAAAGCTCCTTACAAAATAAAACATATGAAATTGGGTTGGAAGGTTCCTTCCTTTCCTTGAAAAACTTGGAAATCTTGATTGTAGGTACCTGATGTGAAGGGCTTCTAGGCTACTGAGTAATTTATATGTAACTTATGAACTCCCCTAGCCCGACCACCGCATTACCAACAAGTGGTTTTAAAAAGTAAAGGAAGGGTAAAGAAACGACGGTGGCTACTACAATGGGCTCAAGCGTGACAACTGTGTGGATGGCGCAGGACTGGGCAGTGTTTCCTTGTGTTGTACACAGGGTCGCTGTGAGTCGGAACCAGCTTGATGGCACCTAACCACCACCAAAAACAAGTAGTACTGACTGCCTCCTTAAGCTTCCACCTCTGGTCCCACGGTCAGAATCTCAGCATCAGGATAGATGTGGCTACCATGAGATGGCATGTTAGTGGACCTTCTTGGATCAGGGAATGGCTACTGCTGTGTCCTAATTTTTGTTGTGCTTGCTCTTACAGGGGAAGCAGTGAGAAAAGAGAGAGCTCATCCAATGAACAGAGTATACATACTACAGCAGTGCCTGTTTGAGACCAAAGGTCAAATCTTTCATACTTTTCTTCCAGTTTTTGTCAGTGGGAAAAAGGTAGAATGCAGGTGGGCAGGACTTACCTAATTCATCAGTTTCCTCCTGAAGAGGAGTGGGGGGCTTATCTTCTGCTAGGCAAGTCTCTTACTTAGGAAGATCATTTTAATCAAAATAATTCTCTGCCTAGGTCTTGCTGACCAGCACAGTGATCTCTGGTCCACTGGATATTTCAAACGAAACCACTGTCTGAACCTCAAACACATCAGTATGCCTTTTTTATGGGGGAAAAACATGGGAATATTTTTGTAGAATATTTACAGGTTGACATCTGCTTTATTTTTTCTCATCCTCCAAGGTTATTACACTATCAAAAGAAAACTTAAAAATTCAAGATAGTGCCCTTGTTACCTACTTCTTCTCATCTAGATATATAAAGCAGTTTCCTGATAAAGTATCATAATCACTCCAGGTACTGCATAAATATCTTTGTATTTCTGATGTGAAATGGCTGGAGTTTCAGCGTTTAACAGGAATACTTATATCCAGGCATCCCATTCAAGTAAGAAAATACATGCTACTTAAAAAGAAAAAATTTCTTAAAAGAAATGATCACTGTTGATTGTACTACACTTGATTAATGGTACTTTTTAGTGATGTCAGTAGGAATCCTTTGTAATTACTTTGTATGGTGTGTTAGTATATTTGTGTGCTAACAGTATGTGTTTCATCTGGTATTTATAATTAGTATTTCGACTTCTGCTTTGGAAGTTTAAAAGAAACCCAAACTGAACTTCCCAGGCTACTGAAAGAAAAGTGCCCTTCATGTGGAAGAAACAGGTGTTTCTTTGGTTGCTTACCATTTTGATTACTATTGCTTACAGTGCCATCTTCTTTCTCGGACTGGCTGTTACTACTATTTGAGGCAGTTGGGGGAGGGGATGGTGCACGACTAGAAGCAGCACTTTCACTTTCATCTAGAAGACGATCCATGTAATCCCTTAGAATTAAGCAAAATAATAAAACAATTATTTTTCATATTAAAAAGCTGAAAATTAAATTAGTTGAGGTGAAATTTAAAAAGCTTTATTAACAAATATATCCTAATTTTCACTTACATTTGACATCTATCACTCCAGGATTTGAACATTTAAATGGAAAACTTCTTTTGGTTACATGTTGTAGAAAAAAATACATAAAGGCTAGCAAATTTCAGAAACCTATAGAAAGTTAAAAGGCAAGTACTCAGAGTGGCCCAACTAAAACTGGAGGATCTGTAAGTGAAGAAATAGGGGTGATGTCATCAGAAGGAGTAAAAAAGAATTTCTGAACAGACGCCAATTGGAATTATAAAGACTTGATGACAATACCTGAAAGACAAATTGGGACCTAATGAAAAAGGATGAATCACTTCCCTAAACCTGGACACCTCCGATATTACCTTTCTGTCACAGTGTGAGATATAATAAGCTCACTAAATCCTTGGACTTATCTGTTGGCTTTAAACTGTCAGCATCTCATTACCAGTGAGCTCATTTCCTCCCTAAGTCATTCCTGTACTATGGTATGTGAAGACAGTTGTGGTAAGTGACACTGGGCCAGAGTTAAAAGATCTGAGTTTAATACCTGTCTCTCTGAGGTTTAGTGTCTTTCCTATAAAATGCAGATAATCATACCTATCCTATCTACCTACAAAGTTGTTTATTAAATATGTGTGTGAAAGTATTTTGTAAACTATAAAGTGTTATTAAATCACTAGAATAAGAGCCAGCAAACTACGGCTGGCTACCTGTTTTTGTAAATATCTTTTATTGGAACACAGCCACACCCGTTCGATTACTTGTCTCCTGCAATAACAGCAGAGCGGAGTAATTTCAACAGATACCTCACAGCCTGCAAAGCCTAAATATTTATTCGCCAACCCCTAAACTAGAATAAAGGAGCCTTGGTGGTACAGTGGTTAAGCACTCATCTGCTAACCAAAAGGTCAGCAGTTCGAACGCACCAGCCACTCTAGGAAAGAAAGATGTGGCAGGCAATCTGTTTCTGTAAAGATTTACAGCCCTGGAAACCCTATTATGGGGCAGTTTTACCCTGTCCTATAGGGTCATTATGAGTCGGAACTGACTTGACAGCAATGGGTTTTAGGGTTTAAACTAAAATATAATTCCCTGAAGGCAGGGATTTAGTCTGTTTTTGTTTACCACCGCACCACTGGGTGCCTGAACTATGTATGGCACAGAGCAGAAGTTCAATAAAAACATGAATATATTATTTTTAAATTCCTTCACAGTAAGTATAATAAAGATATTAAGAAAAGTATTTTAGAAATTTATGAGCAGGGTAAATAACATGAGTAAGAAGGAAACAGTGGACACTCTTAGGACTTACTGAAAGTCTTTGGTATGAGTCTATACTAGCCTATTTAACTGTAGTTAAAATCACGAACAACTGTATGATCACCACTATCCCCTGGGTTACTCAGAGCGACCCTATACGACAGAGCAGAACTGCCCCATACAGTTTCCAAGGAGCAGCTAGCGGATTCAAACTGCTTTGGTTAGCAGCTGAACACTCAACTATAGGGTTGCTATGAGTCGGAATTGACTCGATGGCAACTAGTTTTTTCTTTTTGGTACGGTGAGACTGGATAATAGAGGATGTTGAAAGCCAAGCAAAAGAAGCTACAGTTGGTTACATATAAAAATTACTGTAAATTTCTGAATACAGCAATGATATCATGAAAGAATGATTTATATATATACATATATATATACATATATGTATATATATATAAATGGCATTCAGAATGCTTAGGGAAGGAGAAAGAGAAGTCAGCCTGACCATCCAGAAGACTGGGGCAGAATTTAGCTGTGCTAAGTTAAATCTTTTATTTTTTTTAAAGTTTTTATTATTTTTAATATTTGGAAGACTGAGTATTCTACAGTGAAATCTTCAATTTGTATATGGTTCCCAATTTTTTGAGGTAGGGAATAGAAAAATCCACAGTAGGACCTTTTAAAGGTTGTCTGTAGGAAGAAAAGTGACAAATGTACTTCATTTGGGTGAACAAATGGAAGGTAACAATTTTAAGGAAAAAAAAAATGTTTAGGATAATGTACTCTGAACTGATTTTGATCTAAAAACGAAGATAAGAAAATTCATATTTTTCTCTAAGGGGATTAACAATGTTTTGTGCAGTCACTAAAAGTGCAACTATTAACAGAAAGAGAAGGCTCTGGAAACAAACCAGAAAAACACCCTACCGTATCTTTATGCAAATAACCCATACAATGTGCATCTGACAGCTGCCCCTCGAGGTGTTTTCATAAGCTCACTATGCGAATTTTTTTTTACAGCAACACGTGGAAGAGGACTGGCATGGAGGTACTTGTGAGGGTGCCTCAAGGGGGGAGGGCGTGGCCAGCAAACACACAGAAGGCGTGCATTATTTGCATAAAATACGCTATCTCCATGGTTACAGAAAATCACGATTTCTCCCCATCTGGAAAAAATGTACAGTCTGGTTGCTGCTTCTTATAGAAGGCATAAAACAGCTAAAAGGGATAAAATCTGAGTAGAAAATTTTGGTATATTCAGTTTTAAAACTTCATAAGAGACCCAGAAAAGACATAACTGAATCCTACAAAACCATGGCATTCTTGTCTGGGGGGAAAAAACATTCTGTTCAACTTCATACCATTTACCAGGAGATTACTGTTAACTCTTGAAACCTAAGAGAAGATATGGGATTACTTTTAACTTAACTGTGGCTACTCTGCCTACAGAATACTTAACCCTAAGAGGAATCAAGGATATAGATAGATATGTGTCTTCCATTTCACAAGCTATTAAGAGATTATTAGAGAAACTAGAATGTTTGGCGGCACATCCCTACCTAACCTGTTGCGCTTGACATCACAGAGGACCAACTAAACCAGCCCACAACACTTCCCTTGGTGATGCTTTCTGAAAGAGAAAACTGGATGAACCATGGGTCTGACCCAACATGGCAATTCTTAGGTTCTTAATGTTGATGATGACATATTGACTGTAGTTCAAGTATGAACATTATTTCTGAAATGGGCAAAAAAAATGAAAGATGTTACTGCTGCTTTTCCCTATAGAACAGCTTGAAAACCGTGACTCTTTTAAGATATATTCTGCAGACTGGATAGCTGTATTTAGTTCTACATCATTATGCCTTTTTTTTTTTAATACCATGTCTTAACACTACCAATGGATAATTCAGAAAAAAAAATAACTATAAATTTAACAGTATTAAGCAACCAGATAAAATTTGGAATACTGCTATATATGAAATTCCACTCCAGCCATCAAGGACTTTGAATAAATGGAACATGAGGCACACAGTCAGTCTACTGTCCCATGATTTCCAGGGGCAACTGTATCCATTTATTCCCTTTTAGATTATTTTGCTTTGGGCTTTAGAGTGTTTGATCCTCCAGTGAAGTGACCAGCATACACCTGTAAATGAACACGACCAACTAACAGTCTAGCCCAGGAGTGTGAAAAACACAATAAAATATGCATACAAGCACATCTTTCAAATGCAGTTATTTGGCCAACCTTAAGAATATCTTTACTGGTGCACACTGACCAAATCAATTTATGTTATTTTTTTCTATTACTTTTATTCTGTAAACAATAGGGGATAGTCAAGGATAGTACAGTAAATTCTATCATAACAAAAATTCATCAGCATTTTAGAGCAATTCATGTGAGACAAAGGGCTCACTATTTTATGTGTTTATAGTAACAAATTACCAGCTGGGGAGGGGAGGGTTTTAATCCAATGCCAGACTTAATGAGGCTAAGAGAACTTGGTATGTAGACAATGGATTAAACATATAAGGTCTTTTGCATAAATACTGGATATAATAAGAACCCATACCTATACTATTGGGAATAAGTTAAAGGTGCATTATTAACTATTGAATATTCTGTAGAGGAAAAATTTCAGGAAATCTGGAAAAACGGAAGTCACTATGTATATGCCCCTTCCTCTATAAACAGCTTGTAACCAAAAAAGAAAATACAATTTGACCTGACTTATATCTCTATGCCTTTTCCCTTTTATATCATCTATATCTCAAATCTTATTTTGGTTCCAAGGATCTAAAGTAGATTGAACAAGGAAAAATGTTAATTTCCCTCCCTCTTTAAAGAGGCTCCTACTGGGCACATGGCTCTATAGTTTTAGAAAAGACATTCTCTCATCTTTCCTCTTCTAATTGCTCTCAAAGTGTCATAAAATACAAATTGTATATGGTTATGCTAAATGGAACAGAATTTAACAAAACCATACATTCACAGCAGCTGTGCTCCATTTCTTCTCAGAGATATCTACTTAACACCTACAATCTAACTCTTGCTTTAAATGGTATGTCTGTTTTCTCAAATACGAATTGTGGTTTACAATATTTTTTATAAGACTATGTATAAAAGTATAAATACCCTATGAAATGAAGGTATGTCAATATATGGTAAATTTAAACTAATGTAAACTCTTACCCTATTAAAGAAGACTCTAAACTCCTAATTCTCTAAAGAAAAATCCAGAAAAGCTTAACCAAAAAAATGTAGCTCTAAAAGAAAAAATAAACTCACGTTACACCAGGATGAAGATTGTATTTCTTTTTTCCAAATCGCGTTTGCTGAGCAAAGAAATCGTAACGTTCAGATTTTTTCCACATGTAATAGAATGCTACACATTCACCAACTGACCTTGTTCGGACCTATAAGAAACAAATACTTGCTTTTAAGAATCATTTTTCTCTTCAAGTAATTATTTCATGAGAAACATCTGAAGATTAAAAACAAATTTAGCTTGTCCTTAACAGATATATAATCTTGCTGTAGGTGCTGTAAAGTAGATTCTAATTCAGAGCAACCCCATGTGACAGATTAGAATTGTCCCATAGGGTTTTTCCTAGGCTGTAACCTTCATGGTAGCAGATCGCCAGGTCTTTTCTCCCAAGGAGCTGCTGGCTGAGTTTGAAACCAGTGACCCTTGGCAGCAAGGTGTTTAACCCATTAAGCCACCAGGGCTCCTTAGATATATAATACAATGTATAAAATGCAATACCACAGCAGCTGTGTTGAAAGCTATTCTTTCTAAACTTTCATTAAGAGAAATAATACAATGAAAACATACCCTCAGATATTCAGCATTCTGCTTTTTAAAAGACTGCCACCATCCTAATCTACCATAAAACTAAATTCTCCTCTATTGAAAATGTCTGGAAGTAGCATTTAGGTTAAACTAATGTTACAACCACTTCACAAATACTTTTACTCACAGAGCACCTAGAAGTCTACCTTCAAAATCTCATTCAAAACATTCGCTTACTAGTCCTAACAGCAATCCAGACTCATTTAATTTACTTTCAAGAGAGGCTAAGAATTACAATACTGCGAGTGCTCTGTTTACTGAATTATTCCTGTGGTTTACTGTGTTGTACCTATTTGTGCAAATGAATGGCTCCGCTCACATATTATGGGATTGGCAAATGATGTTGACAAAATCCCCTTTTTTGCTACTTAGAGAGCTGGAATGGTTGACGTATATGAATAAAATATTGAAGGTTTTAAAAAACTATCTGCATGAGTGTTTCAGATGCCAAGATGACATGCTTTGACTCATAAATTTCTGATCATGACGTAGGAATCCTGTGGCACTGACTGCACCTAAGAACAATTGTTGATGACACGTTTTTCTTTCCGTGCCATACATTTTTCTTCCTTCCTCTCTGCTTGCTCTTTACAGTTTAAGCCCATGGTACTCTGAGACTGACAGTAATTAGGGCTTAAAAATAAACTCATATTCTCAAGCTCTGACAATTCCATCTTTTTGCCTCCTATTGCAACTCATTTCTATACAGATTCTTCCATGGCAACTGTATTTTACTGAAACCAATAAATGAAGAAAACGTTTTGGGGCATACAAAGTTAACTATATTATGCAAATTTCTCAATAAACTAACAAAAGTCTTCATGCTTTCATTGGGCCATTCTTCTCCCCCTTCAAGAATTAACATCCTCTTTTTATTCACTACAGCAACTAGTATATTCTATAGAAGAAGTTGACTTCCATCCCCTAACACTGAAATATCACCATCCTAAATATTTACAAAGAAATCAAAGTCTTATTTTCAATACTTACGGTGTTTTTTATTTTTTTTTGGGCTAGCAGTACCCAAGCCAAGGAATAAGATTATAGGTCCCTGGGTGGTTCAAACAGCCTGCACTCATCTACTAACCTAAAGGTTGATGGTTCAAACTTACCTAGAGGCAATGTGGAAGAAAAGCCTGCCAATCTGCTTTAATAAAGAATACAGCCAAGAAGAAAACCCTAAGGAGCAGTTCTGCTGTGTAACACATGGGGTCGTCATGAGTCAGAATCAACTCAATGGCAGTGGAGATTTAAAAAAAAAAGATTCTATAGCGGAAGGGGTTAGGGTAGACTCTATTGCTGGGGTTGCTGCTGCCAATTATATTCCATTATCTTTCCTGTCAGTTCAGGAGTCCCCTCCATAGGTAGGTCATCCAGCATGGTCTAGGTCAACAGTGTTTCAATTCAAGCAAGGGTACTAGAAAATTCTTATCTAAAATGTTTTTTTTCAACCATGAAACAAATTTTTTTTTTTTTTTACTATCAGAAACATACATGGCAAGTTGTCAGCATAATATACTCCTTAGCTGTATATGAGGTTATCAGATGACTGGACACAACATTAAAAGGTATCAGACAAATTTTTTTTTTTAACACTGACTACACTGCCTTCTTAAATATTCTAAATCCTAAAACTCAAAATTTTTCTTATTAGCTATTTCTTACGCCAAATACCAAAAATGCCATCAACAGTGAATTAGTTAATGCACAACAAAATTAAGAAAAATAGACTCAAAAGGTTTGTAAGCCATTATTTTACTTACTGAATATGTTAATTATATGTTGAAACAAATCAAGTGGATACCATCCAATCACATCCAGAGGTATAAAGAAAGAAATCTGGTGTCAGGCTACTTAAGAGCCTCGGACATAACACCATACACTTTCAACAGGGTCCTAGGCAAGCCACCACACAAAACCTTAGATGCTATCTTTAAAGGAAATGCATAAAGAGCCAAGCTGCTTGCTGTGTATTCTCTAAAGATAATGTGAGATTCGTAAGCCTAGGAATTACTTAATTTCCTACATGTGAGCTCTGAAATTTTGCCTGCCCCTATTTGAGTAACACATTTTTCTATTCTATGCAATTGTGTAGTTACTATTAAAAATCTTACCTGATTTGGGTAGAAAGAGAATTAACCCCCTCTAAAATCTGCAAATGATTATGAAGTTCATTTTTTTTCTTTTTTTAAATTGTACTTTAGATGAAGGTTTACAGAACAAACAGTTTCTTATTAAACACTCAGTATACATATTGTTTTATGACATTGGTTAACAACCCGACACGTCAACACTCTTCCTTCTCAACCTTGGAGGACCTTTTTTTTCTGGTGAAAATATACACAGCCAAAGTTACACCATTTCAAAAGTTTCTACAAGTCAGTGACATCGATTACATTCTTCCAGTTGTGCTGCTCTTCTCACTATCCTTTTCCAAATTATTCCAACACCATTATCTTCAACTTAACTGCCCCCTAGGCTTCCCATCAAATCTTTTGAGTTGGTTTTGTGTATCTGCTCTCACATCTTTTTTTTTTTGTACCTTAGATGAAGATTTACAGAACAAATAGTTACTCATTACACAGTTGGTACACATATTACTCTATGACAATGGTTAACAACCCCACGACATGTAAACACTGTCCCTTCTCAACCTTGGGTTCTCTATTACCAGCTTTCCTGTCCCCTTCTGCCTTCTAGTCCTTGTCCCTGGACTGCTGTACCTCATTAGTCCCTGTCATGGATTGAATTGTGTCCCCCAAAAAAATGTGTGCAGCAACTTGGCTAGGTCATAATTCCTAGTATTTTATGATTGTGTTATCTGATGTGATTTCCTTACGTGTTGTCAACTCTACCACTATGACAAGATTATATGTGATCTCCTCATGTGTTGTAAAGTCTATCACTGTGATGAGGTTATACTGATGAGGTTGAAAAGATCAGTGTCTTAATGCAATCTCTTTTGAGATATAAAAGAGAGAAGCTAACAGAGACAGATGGGAACCTCATACCACCAAGAAAGCAGTGCTGGGAGCAGAGCGCGTCCTTTGGACCTGAGGTTCCTGCGCAGAGAAACTCCCAGACCAAAGGAAGACTGATGACATGGACTTTCCTCCAGAGCCAAGAGAGAAAGTGTTCCCCTGGAGCTGATGCTCTGAATTTGGACTTGTAGCCTACTGGACTGTCAGAGAATAAATTTCTCTTTGTAAAGCCATCCACTTGTGGTATTTCTGTTGGAGCAGCACTAGATGACTGAGACAGTCCCGTTTTGTTTTATGAGGCTGTCCAATCCCCAGCTGAACCGTGAACCTCGGGAGTAACTTCACCACTAAGCTAAAAGGGTGCCCGGGGGCCAGACTCTCTGGGTTTCTCCAGTCTATCAGGCCAGTAAATCTGGTCCTTTTTGTGAGTTAGAATTTTGTTCTACATCCTTTTCCAGCTCTATCCAAGACTCTGCTGTGATCCTGGTCAGAGCAGTCAGTGGTGATAGCCGGGCACCATCCAGCTGTACTGGACTCAGTCTGGTGGAGGCCATGGTAGCTGTGGTCCATTAGTCCTTTGGACTAATCTTTCTGTTGTCTCCTGTTCTCTTCATTCTCCCTTGCTCCTGAAGGGATGAGACCAGTGGAGTATCTTAGATGGCTGCTCACAGGCTTTTAAGACCCCAGATGCTACTCACGAAGGTAGAATGTAGAACACTGTGTCTTTATAAACTGGGTTATGCCAACTGAGCTAGATGTTCCCCGAGACCATGGTCCCCATAGGCCTCTGCCCAGCAATTCAGTCCCTCAGAGAGTCTGGATGTGTCTATGCAACTTTCCTGACCTTTCATTGTACAAGTTGTGCTGGCTTCCCCAGTACTGTGTACTGTTTAACCCTTCGCCAAAGTTACCACTTATCTATTGTTTGTTTAGTTACTGCCCCCGCCACAACCCTCCATCCCTGGTAACCAACAAAGATTGTTTTTTTTGTGTGTGTAAACTTTTACAAGTTTTTACGGTAGAGGTCTCATACAGTATTTATCCTTTTGTGATTCACTTATTTCACTCAGCATAATGTCCTCCAGTTTCATCCATGTTGAGATATTTCACAGATTCATCATTGTTCTTTATCATTGCATAATACTCCATTGTGTGTATGTACCATAGTTCATCCATTCACTCTTGATGGGCCTCTAGGTTGTTTCCATCTTATTGCTATTGTGAACAGTGCTGCAATGAATATGGGTGTGCATATGTCTATTCGTGTGATGGCTCTTATTTCTCTACCGTATATTCCTATGAGTGGGGCTGCTGGATGGTATGGTAATTCTATTTCTAGCTTTCTAAACTATTGTTTTCCAAAACGGCTGAATCGCTATGCGCTCCCACCAACAGTGCGTAAGAGTTCCAATCTCCTCACAACCACTCCAACATTTGTTATTTCCAGTGTTTTTGAATCGTGCCAGTAATGCCGGAGCGAGATGGTGTCTCATTGTGGTTTTAATTTGCATTTCTCTAATGGCTAGTGATAAAGTGTCTGTTCATTTCCTTTGCCCGTTTTTTAACTGGATTATTTGTCTTT